GAGTACATAGCTGATCTTCTGAATATTTAGAGATTTCTCCGCCCCACCATGGCCAATACTCACCGCATATCGCACATGCTCGATTCCCTTGCCATGCTTCCGAGCCTATCACCCGCCCGTTATTTCTTTCTACCAAGATGTTCGAAGCACACGATCCGTAGCTTCGATGTACTCATCTCCACGAGTATAACGCTTGCTGACAAGCCAGTGGACGGTCTATATACCGATACATAGTTCGAGATACGTTGTGAACCTCTCCCGGTTCAACCCCCCAAGATGGTTTTAGCCACTAGCTTCTTCGCGTCCCTCATTCTGCTCGCAGCGGCCAAGCCTATGGCCCCTCTCACCATGGTTGTCCATGAGTCGCGTGCCGCGCCTGCCAAAGGATTCGTCCAGTCTGCCGCAGCGCCCGCAGAGCAAGAACTCACCCTCCGCATCGCGTTAAAGCAGAACAACATTGCGGGACTGCAGACTGAGCTATATAAAGTCAGCGATCCGGCGTCCGAATGTGCGTTCTGAGCATCTCGCCAACGTCTTCTCTAACCGTTCTGTAGTCTACGGGCAACATTTGACCCCAGAAGAGGTGTGACTTCCATGACTTTGTAGCGCGAATATGTTTGAGGTCTCTTGTCGCTGCCAGGTTGCCGAGTTCGTCAAGCCCACGGATGAAACTCTTGACGCCGTGTCCAGCTGGTTGTCAGAGAACAATATCGGTGCTAAGCCCGTTACGCCCGCTGGTGACATGCTCGAGATCAAGATCCCTGTCTCCAAGGCAAACGACCTCCTTTCTGCTGAATTCTCCGTCTTTACCCATGTCGAGACGGGCAAGACCATCATTCGCACGCTCCAGTACTCCCTCCCCGCGTCGCTGACCCAGCACGTCGAGTTTTTCCACCCGACGACCATCTTCGCGCCTCCCCTTGACTCGAGGCCCAAGTTTGTTGCCGCCAGCCCTGCGAAGCGAGCCATCCCCGGCTCGGATGATCTCCCCGGCTCATGCACCTCGACTATGACCCCCGCGTGCCTTCAAGTGGGTCATTTCGCGTGCCGCGCAATTATTTCCACTCACCAAATGATCAGGCACTCTACGGCATCCCCACCGCCCCCGCAACTCAGAAGTCCAACACGCTCGGCGTCGCTGGCTTCATTGATGTGCGTTGATCATCCCCATTTCCTTCCGATACTTTATTTATTGCGCTCGTTACTTCTAGCAATGGGCGAACCAGGCGGATCTTACGGTGATTTCGGCTGACGTGTTGTTTCATGGGTTCTGACTGCCGCCACAGGTCTTCCTCACCAGCTTCCGCGCCGATATCAACTCGTCCACCACCTTCGCTCTTGAGACCCTCGACGGTGGCTCGAACCCGCAGAACAGATCCGAGGCCGGTATCGAAGCGGTTGGTGGTCCGCATTTCATTTCGAATTTATGCTCATTTTCTTCTCGCTTCTAGGACCTTGATATTCAGGTACAGTTCTTCTGCACTCCTTGCATCATTTCTCTATACTGAAATGACTTTGAAGTACACCATCGGCATCGCCACCGGTGTCCCAGTCACCTTTATTTCGGCAGGTGACGATAATCCTGATGGCCTCAACGGGTTCCTGTAAGTCTCATTGACACTTCTGTGCACGTCCTTGCTTCTGACACTTCCAAAACAGTGACATGATCCTTCTCCTGATGAACGACCCCAACCGTCCCAGTGTCTTGACCACCAGCTACTCCTTTCAGGCCGAAACTGACCTCCCAATATCAGTAGCCATGTCAGTGCCTTCCCTGTGCTTCCTGGACGCCGAATTTTGACGACGGATGCCTTTGTTTAGCAACCTGTGCAACACGTACATGCAGTTGGGCGCTCTTGGTACTTCGGTGCTCTTCGCCTCGGGCGATGGTTAGTCCTGGGACCATGGTTCAAATCCATCTTCGCGTCGCGTGCTTACTTGATTCGCAGGCGGTGTTTCGGGAGGCCAATCCCAGAGCTGGTAAGCAAACTCCATTCGCGCCTTTGTTGAACATTTTTCACTGAACGTCGACTCGCACGTAGCGGGGACTTTGTCCCCCCCTTCCCCGCCGGCTGCCCATTGTGCGAAAATTCCTCCCCTTCCCATCCCATTCTATTCTCTGATACGCTCTCTTTCTGTAGCATCACTTCGGTCGGCTCCACCGGCGGAATTAACCAATTCGCCGGAATCAACGAAATCGGGTCGATGTTCTCCTCTGGAGGTCAGTTGTTGGTTTGCTCTATCCGTGCTTTTTTTCCTACCCCGACGCGTCTTCAGGCTTCTCGAACTACTTCCCCACCCCCGACTACCAGACCGGAGACGTCGCAGCCTACCTCGCGTTCATCGACAGCCTCGGCACCATACCTATCGACGGCAGGTACAACCGCAGCGGCCGTGGCTTCCCCGACGTCTCCGCGCAGGGCGAGAACTTTCAAATTGTGTGGGGTGCGTCTCTTCTTTCCTTCTTTCTGGTTGCCGCCATATATCCGCAGGAACTAACGATATCTGGGCAGATAACCAATTCAGCACCGTCGAGGGAACCTCCTGCTCCAGCCCCACTTTTGCGTCCATCGTCGCGCTCCTGAACGACGAGGTAAGCTCTCTCTTCGGCATTATGGGGAAACTCAACTTCTAATCATTATTATATTCCTTCAGCTCGTAGCAGCCGGAAAACCCACTCTGGGTTTCCTGAACCCTTTCCTATACAGCCCTGTCGGCCATGCAGCGCTCAACGACGTTACGTTTGGTATCAATCCCGGTTGCGGCACCGAGTACGTGTTATTCTGTATTCTTTCTTTCTTTCACTTATCAGCTTGGGTCCTGGGCTGACGAGTATTGTAGCGGCTTCCCCGCAACAACCGGATGGGATCCTATCACCGGGCTGGGCACGCCCAATTATACGGCGCTCAGGACTGCGGTCGGGTTGTAAAGATGGAAATATCCCGCAAGGGATTTTAGGTATCACATCTTTTCCTGTATGTACTTGAGGTGTAGGGCCGTGGCATTGCCCGGGAGAAACTCGTGCTTATGTGTTTTTTCTTGTGTCTGTAGCTATGAGCCCAACAGCCACACCGGAAGACCCCGGCAAATTCCAGTCGTTGCTAATGCAGATAATACAGAGCCGATACAGACTCCAACTTTGATATGAAACCACTTAAAGCGTTGGCAAGGGAATTAAATTCGTCACCTCAGTAACCACAGTACATCAAGCAAACCCCCCGCAGATATTTTCTGGTATTTTCGCACAAATGTTCGAAAATATCATTAGTTTGGTCGATGTTCAAATTTTTAAAATATCTTTCCGGCCGACAAATTTTAGTGTGAATTTATGCAAAAGTGCCTTCTCCTGGCAGTTTTTGATCCCCGCACACGCCACTGTCACCGGCCGTCCTCAAGCACAGGTACGTGGCGCATACTCGCCATTGTTCCTTTACATCTCCCTGACGACCTTATTGCCATTATCTGCTCCTTCTTTCTCCGTGGACATTATCAAGTCCGTCCGGGAGTTCCCGGTCCTTTCGGTATGTGATCCCCAACCCGTTCCTTGAGCTAGTTGACCGTTTTCAAGTGCGGAAATTCGCCCCACTCTTCAGTAGAACAAGGATTTCGGGGTCATGACAAGAACCTGGGGTGCAAATTCCGGCCGTGCGCGTGATACACCATACTGCTTCCTTACACCCATTTCACAGCTGATTAAACCGACTTCAGAATCGTAGCTGGGGCGAACAAGGCTAGGAGCTTGACGAAACAGAGAAGCACCTGGTCTCGAACAAGGTCCTCCGAGTGATTTATTCTTGTTGCCACCGAACACAGCAACCATAGATACACCATGCATTCAGACTGCTTCCTGTACTGTACATACCTGTATGGGAGCAACAGTCACGGTCACGGTAGGGTCCGTTGCGTTGCCTTTTTTTATTCATGTCACTGTCATGATGGGCTCGGTTGCTTCAAAAAAATGGTGACATACACCTAAAAATCCTAAAAAAAACGTCAGAGTTCACAAACTAGGCCGAATAACCACAACCCCCTCTAATCTGGGGTGTGCAATACCAGATATTGGTTCTGAACCCCAGAGAAGGCCGATAATGGCAAGAGAAAAAATTGATTGTTGCCTCTTAAAGCAACGGTCACGATCACGGTGGTGCTCGTTGCCTGAAAAAGAGGCAACAGCCATGTCACGGTCCACGGGGCGTTGCTCCCCTACAGGTATGTACAGTATCCCAGCTCACTCACTGCTGATCAAGATATCAATCAAGTTCTGCAAAACTGAAACCTGAGCAGCCAAAAAATGAGAAAGAAGCGCGCTAGAGCAGCACCTTGACTCGAACAACGACCTCGGCGTAAATTTGATTGTACACAAGCGGCAGCCGGACCGCTCCGTGATGGATTCATGAGACTAATGTTCGATCTTACCTTCCGTCTCCTTCTTTCCCAAATATTGGCATCAAATCACCAAAACCCCAAATATTAACTCACACGGGTTGACGTGTGCGATGTTGGAGAGTCAGTTTATTGCACTTATCCTGCTTGTAGTCGGTGGTGGGAGATTCTGGTGCGTCTCCAGGCTAGGTCATGCATCCATGGGTGCGGCTTTTTTGTACCTCGCTCGTGACCTACTTCAGATGTCAGCATTCACTAGCGGGGAGAATGCATGGTTCGAACCTGAGATATCAAAACACCGCCAGTGCCATGTGGTCATGCCATATGGGTTTCGGCCTGCATTTGACAGCATTTAGTCGGTAGGAATGGGACCTGGTGGCGGACGGCCCGCACCTACTTCAGTTAGTGAATCTCTAACAAATCACTGCAGGATTTCTGGTTCGACTCCAGCCTAGGTCGTAAATCCATGGCAATTTTCTTCTTCTCTATGCTCGCTCACTCTTCCCTTAAATTTAACCTATCAACATTGTACCTTGCCAAGTTGCTGTATACCGCGCTTGGGATCTTGGGAGCCTGCGATCCAACAGCATTTGTCGAGATTTCTTCGATAGGACTAAGACCGAGTGGCGAAAGCAATCGTACTTGCTTCTGATACTCATTTGGGAGTGAGAAAATACGATGCAGGAGTACCTGGTTCGAATCCAGGCTAGGTCATGCTGTGTTGGTTTCAAGTTTTCTTACGATACTAGCCGACGTACGTGTGCTGTCCTTCGTCCTCAAATCTCAACATTCGCTGACGGTGCCCAACTTGGGTGTCGAGTCGAGTTTGCGCGGGCGCCTAAATAGGCGCTCATTAGGCGCTGGGGTCGGAAATCGAAAATCAGAGTATTTGAGCGGGAAAATTCAACCCACAGAAAATCAGGAAGTTGAGAATACAACTCAGCAGAGATATTGAACATTCATTCCAGAATCAAAGTATTTAGATCAAACACCAATAGAGATGCACTGGATGGCGCTCAGCGAACAACTGGAGCTTGAGCGTAGTAATCCGTGCTTCGGTGTATCGCTCACTATATATGTTATTCCTCGTTATCACTGGGACTCAAGCCGAGAGTCAACCGATGCAATTGATTGAAATCGACGTGCAGAGGGCAGAGAATACCTGGTCGAAAACCGGGTTGAATAAAGCACATTGCTTGGAGCAAAAATGAATAACCGCAAGTCGAGCCGGACTGACACCACTCATCCACGGAATCCAGAACGGGCTGCATTTATTTAGTTCGATTGTGAGCAATCGTTAACACTGGATGGGGCCCCACACGGTCTCCTCATTCCCGACGGCGTCACGTCCGCTTGTCTCCCAGCATATACACAACTAGTGATGGTTTGTAGAACTCATGAAAAAACATTGGACGGGGGACGTACGGGAGTTACATGCATTCCATCTCGCCTGCCTAGTCTGCGAAATTCAATGCCGAGCATACCAGCCTCGAAGCCCGGGAGCTCGTTCTCTCTTTGGGCTTTTGCGGATGGGATCCAGTCAAGTGAATACATGACAGAAGCGCCATACCATGCGCACGGTACCAGAACTATGAGTCCATGAAGATTCCGGTAAATATTCAGATCGCGGAGATTCGGATGGCGGAATCGCATCAAAGACACGCCTAAGGCGGAGACGCACCCGATTCTGGGTCCGCAGCTCAGATGCACGAGATGACAGAAGTTCGAGCAATAATTCGAATTAAATCTTGCACCAGAGTACAGCGACAATAAACGTAGTAGAACTATCTGCAACGAAGGGTGGAAGCATCCGGCCGCGATTGAGGATTTGCTAGGCCAAGAAGGGAGGCACTGCAGGAGGGGATAGAGCAGAGGCGCCGTAGAGGGGTGAATGAAAAAGACGCCGGGGATCCGAGAAACAGAGAGGGAAGCAGGCACGTCGGAGAGGGAGATGTGAAGCAGGCATGAAGCAGGCCGTGCACAAATGAGCAAAGACGCGAAGCAGCGTATCCGAAAGGCATGCAGACGCCGTGAAGAAAGCGAAAAGGAAATCCGACGGCAGGAAGTCGGGGCGTGCAGCCATATAAAGAGGGAGTGTGCGACCGAACGAAGAGCCCAATGCGCTCCCAGGAGAGAGCGGGACGAGTGGAGTAGGACTGCTCCAGAAGTAAAGCGCGCAAGATCGCGTACTAGAGGCCGGCACAGAGAGACGATGAGCGGGGGAGATGGTGAGGCTGCAGATGAAGACTGGCCCATATGATCGAGTTCTGCTGGCAGTGCCGGCGCGTTCACAGCAGGGCCAAGGGAAACTGAAGATGAAACAGGAAGGAGGCAAGGGATGGATAGCGAGCAGAAGAGGGAGTGGATGGATAGGGCAGTGGACGTCGATGGATGGTCCCCAGCATAGAGTAGACACGAAAAGGACTCACCAGCTTTTCTGCACGCGACGCCACCGTGAATACATCTCCGGCTCACACGCCCCCGCGAACCTTGCCTCCTCCGCCGACCTTTCCTCCGCTTGCTGGCTGCCTTTGCGTGAGGACGAGTTGGAGTCGTGGCAGGTGGCGAGGAAGGCGTGCACGAGGCGCGCGGCGGCAGGACGCCGTATGTCCAATACGAGGGCGGGGAAGACAAACGTGGTAGCGATGCCGTAGCCTCAGAACGGCGTCCCGCGCGGGCGAGATCTTGGTCCAGGTGTTTGAGCGGTGGTAGGGGTACTCCTTCCCGAGGCGGCGTACGGTACGGCGTTGTCACGCGGCCAGCGTCGCAGGGAGGAATCCGACGGCACCGTAGGAATCGGTGGTCAGGCTGTGCGTGCGCGCGCGCATGAGGCCGAATACATCCGATCCGGAGATGGGGGCCGGGGGTTTCCGGGCTAGGGAGCGGTGAGAGCAGTGGCGAGCTTTAGTTTGTGCTTGGACGGCGTCGACGCCATCCGCGCGCGCGAGAAGAGCGACGGCATCCCAGCCTCCTCTCAGATTCCTAGTCCTTCTTGTGAAAGTCTTGCTAATCCTTCCTCGAGTTCTTCAGCGTAAGCCGGCCTGCGCCTTGTCTTGCTCGCTATCGTCGCCGACAGCAGGACAACGACGACGGCGGCGGGGATTGAAGGAGTGTTACGTAATCGATCAAACTGGAGTCATTTTGATGCGCGGCTATCCCCGCCGCCGTTTCTGAGCTTCCTTTCATGGTCCTTCCATGCCACTGCCTCCCTTTCTTCCCTACCGTTCCGTATCATCCTGACTCAACGAGCTGCCTGTCCTTCAAGTCCATCTTACCGGCGGTCCTCGGATTCACCACATCCCACGGAACCCGTTATTTTTAGTGCCGGGTTTAGAAGGCTGTATAAAACAATTGTATTATACAAGACGTATTATACATGGTATAAAACATTTTAGACATCCAGGTCTCTGGAGGCCATGTATTTAATGTGTATTTAATCCCCAATCAGTTTCAAAACAGCCTCTGAGTCTCGTATAGCTAGAGGGACTTCAAATGAATTGACCTTACCGAGTCGGATCAGCGCCGAAGTCCGTCGGTTAAGACGATCATGTGATGTAAAGCCGGCACGTAATTTTCACTTTTTTTCCTCATCGCGCATTGCTGTCGACACAAAAGCTCGCATAGATCCGTATTCTCGTCATGGGGGTCTCGAACGAACAATACGAGACACTCAAAACTGCCTCAATGCCTCAACACACTTTCTCTCCGAACGTGACTTGAGTTTCTCTGAAATTGAGATCGCCATGGATGCCATTTTCGGCGAGGATCGTAGCTCGGCTGAGGCTCAGGCATGGGAGAAATATTGGGCCAATTTGGGCACCGCTAAACGCAATAATCTTGGCGCGGAAAATTTGGTTCGCTGCGCGCAACTCAATCAATATTGGCGCTACGGATTTGGTTCTTCTGAGGTCCAGCGGCACTGTCAAAAGGTTCGCTTGGAACTTCCCACACCGAGTCGGAAACCCTCCGACCCCATCGTTGCCGGAATCCCTAAACTTCAGGATCTTCTCAATGCAGATCCACTTGATGAGCAGCCTCTTGATGAGGAGGCTCTCTTCAACCCTCTGGATCCATATGGGGTCAAAGACTACGAGGCGATGGAGGAAGGAGAATATGAGACGGATACAGCTGCTCCTCCGCTCGTCATACGTCATGCCGGCGTTCCCACCCTGGAGATCGAGGCGTATATCGATCTGAACGCGCAAAAACTGACTCAGCGCTTTGCACCCGACCAGGGAAAGCCTCAGCAGCGACATGCTCAGCCCGCCAAGAAGCCTGTCAGAGCTTCGAATACGGAGTGGACGACAAAGGACGCCAAATGGGACGCGGCGGACTGGTAGGTGTATTAAATACACATTAAATACATTAAAAACGGTATTAAATACACGTATAATACTTTAAATACACGAAAAAAAAATTGCCTGCGGCGCCTGTATTTAATGTATTAAACAAGCTCTACATTCAAGACATCAGCGCCGCTGCGCGGCCTTGTTTTATACACGACCCCAAAGGTTTCAGACCCGGCACTAGTTATTTTGCAGTGGTTACTACTCATTGCTCAAACACGCGGTTGCCACCATTAAATTCTAAACACTTGACGTGCGATTCCTCAACCCAACCTCACCGTACTGATTCAACCTCCACTTCGTAGCAATACGACCCAGTGGCGAAAGGAATCGCGCCTGCTTCTAATTCGTTTTCCTTCAGAACTTCGACGCAGGAGTCCCTGGTTCGACTCCAGGCTGGGTCAGACCATCCACCCGATACTTTTTCCCCCACTCTTTGTTGCATTCCGTTCCCTAAACTCCTGATTTGACAGCAGGTCTCATACCACGGGCAGTAAGTCTGGAACCAATTCAATACAAGCCCATCGAACCTCAGCGCAGGCTAAGTCATGCATCGGCGGCTGGATTCGATGGCCGCGTCGGCTGCGCGCAAACACCGCCGTGCGTGCGTGCTTCCTGCCTTTCGTTCTGCTGTGTAGCGTTAATCTCACCTGCCATTTCCTTCTTCCACAATATCGGCACCCTTGAGATATTAAATTACACGTTGCTGCGTGATACTGGAGGCTCAATTTACCGCACTTATTCAAGGTCTACTTTGGAAGTATAAGACCTAATAGCGGAGGCCTGAGGCCCCATGTCCGCCTTCAATAAAGTGCTACCGATATGGTGTACCGCGGGAGTTCCTGGTTCGACTCCAGGCGAGGTCATAAGTGTGTGGTCATCTGTTTCTTTTTTCCATGCTCTTCTCTAGCTGGCGCCTCATCAAATTCAAGAGATAGGGTCGTGTATAAGACCTTTACCACTTTCGGGGGCGTCAGCATGGTGGATTCCATGGAACTTCCTAACCGTTCCCACGTTATGCGGTTTCGTATTTTCCTTCCTATATATCCACCTTCCATCCAAAATTTCACGGACCCCCAGCAGCGCGAGAAATCCTCTTTTACCATGTCATGCTTTCACTGTAAATGTATGCCTGCTTGGTATTTTGCCGCCCTCAATTTGACCATATTTGTTGTAAGTTCGTAGGAATAAGACATAGTGGCGAAAGCATCGCGCCCAGCTTCGCTAATGGAAACGGGCGGCCTGGGTCAGCTTCAGGCTAGGTCATGGATGCTTTGTTTCACTGCTCCCTCCACCCTACTTTTCTCTTTGTCGCCATAAATTTTCTAGCTTAGTCCCGCTCAAAAAGGTTGCTTCGATAGTGTCTTA